TGTGTGTGTGTGTGTGTGTGTGTGTGTGTGTGTGTGTGTGTGTGTGTATGCAATAAAGCATGAGCTGAGAATGGATAAAAAAAGAATTCCAATTGACATGATGCATTTCTATAATTACAAAATACAAGAATTTCAAAATGTTATCACCGATGTTTTTGTTTTGTTTTTCTGAGACAGTCTTGCTATATATATATACATAATTCAAGCTGCCTTAAGCCCTCTTTCCTCAGCCTCCAGAGTGCTGGAATTAAGGCAGATACTACCACACCTGACTACAAATAAACCTTAACAGTCAGCCTACATTTTACCAGAAGACCCAAGGGAACATATAAGAGATTGTGCTATTTTTTTAAGGGGTTCAAGGAGTGAAAGAACATAAAGTAAGTTTAGTTTTCCGTTCCATTAAGTTAATAGTGTTCAAGACACAGTAGACAAAAAAAATGGACCATTAATGCAAATAAAACTAACAAATATATACCTTGGTATCCTCAAAAAAACTTATTTTAGACCTTGCCTTTAATAACATATAGATTGTATTACATAATACAGACACCTGTAGCAAACAAAAAAAAATGAAAATAGATGATGCTATGGTGAAAAACGCAATGAATAGGTTAAAATGAAGGTATTTCATTGTGGTCACGGTGAAAACTCGACAAGTAGGAAGAGGCTCTAAGTCAAACGCACATCACTATCTCCAGCACACGCACCTTGGATCTGGTCTCCAGGTTGGAACTTCACCTGACTCGCTGTGATTTGGTGGATAGGCTGAGTCTGAGGGCTGTGGCCATGCTGGGGAATCATCCCACCGCAGTACTTTCTCACTCTTCCATTGAAGTAACTAGTCACAGAACACGTGAGTAGCGCAAACATGAGGGCACTGCGGGCAAACTGGGGAGCTGCCATCTCCAAACAAAGCCTAAGAACACGTCACCTGCAGATGTAATTAAAATACGATATGACAGCTTTTATAACACAAGGCAGGAATCCTAGCTTTCAATGCTTGGTTCTCCAAATTCTCAAGATACATAATAAAAAAGAGTATGGTATGTGATCTAAATCTCTTTTACCAAACACCAACTGTGAGACTTCAGCAAGATTCTATTTCTCGACCTGAAAAATTACGTATTTTGCTCAAACAAAATAAAAATACAACCCAAAGTCCAAAAGGGCAGATAGTAAGCACTTTTATCAGTAAGGTAGAGCCAGGTGTGCTGCCAGCACTCAGGAAGCAGAGGCAGGAGGATTTCTATGTGGGTGACACCAGCCTGGTCTACATAGGGAATCCCAGACCAGCCAGGACAGTGAGACCCTGTCTCTAAAGAAAGAGAAAACGGTATGATCAAAGAACAGTAAGCTCATCCAATAAAAACAAAGGGTCTGTTATTCCACCTCACCCCAGACTTAAAGGATGCCTCTTCTAGATTTTACAAGCATCATCTGAGTAGATTTCTGTTGTAGCTTCTTCCTATTAAGCTAATAATAGTGGCAGGCATATCATTTAATTTATCATATGGAAAACAGACAAACAATATACAGAAACACTGTTTTGGTTTTTTTTTTTTTTTTGGTTTGGTTTGGTTGGTTGGTTGGTTGGTTGGTTTTTTTGGGACAGGGTTTCTCTGTGTCGCCCTACCTGTCCTGGAACTCACTGTGTAGACCAGGATGACCTCAAACTCAAGATATCTGCCAGCCTCTGCCTCCAGAGTACTGGAACTAAAGGCGTGCACTACCACCACCTGGCCAGAAACAGTATCTTTATCATCTGTAGTTTCAGACATGCCTGAATTAAGAAACGACTGTCAGCTAGAAGTAACTGGGCAGGGTCATGTTATAAGGCAGCATGTGAGGTCAACACTGTGGACAGACTGCAGATGGGAAGGCCCAGGAAGAGCTCATTCTCCACAGAAATGAAACTTTCTTTCTTTCTTTCTTTTTTAAGATTTATTCATTTGTTTTTTTATATAGTATACTGCCTGAACATATGCTTACAGGCCAGAAGAGGGCACCAGATCTCATTAGAGATGGCCATCAGCCACCATGTAGTTGCTGGTAATTGAACTCGGGACCTCTGAAAGTACAGCCAGTGCTCCTAACCTCTGAGCCTTCTCTCCAGCCCGGAAATGAAACTTTCTATATCACATATCCGGCCAGAAACAAAAATCTGTCCTGGCGTGTATACGCTTTCTCTCAAGAGCTACCAAGCACATAGCACAGAGTCCAAGAGTCCTGCATACCCCTACCTTTCCTCAAACATCCAAGTTACATGGAATTATTTCCCATAAAAGTGGTAAATGGAAGCAACAAACCAATCATGAGCTTCAGAAGAGTATAAGAGAACCACAATACTTCTACGCAGACTTAAAGGAATAATGTAACTTTGAAAATGGTTGATGACTACAAGAAGCAGAATATTAAGCAATGTAACTGTTTATTAAGCAGAGAAGCTGGATATTTTTCTTTTCTATTTTTTTTTTTCAATTAAATCGTGGCCTCTAAGACCTTCTATCATGAGCAAACCTGTTACTAGAATTTTCAAGGAAAAGCACCCAGCTCCAGGCACCCCAACACACTAGGCTCAACCACCCATCCCAAAACTCCAACTGAAGAGATGTGTAATAGCCAAAAGCAGAGACAAGGGACTCGATAATGCATGCATCAATAAGAGAAACAGCAGAGCAGTGCAGTGACCTGAACTGGAATTGGGGCAGTGAGCAAAAGGTACAAGAGTGGTCTGGCTCTCCATGTGGTCAGTTCTGATCCAATGACGTCATTGCTGTCACTGCTGGGGAGGAGCAATCTGGTACTCCTGATTGCTCCTACTCCAGGGCGCAGCTTCACCATCATAGACCATTGCCCTCACCTGCCCTCCTAAACTGAACTGTTTCCAGAATCCAAGGTGAATGCAGGTTTAGGACACTGATTCTTAGCTCCCTGACTCCAGCCTGGAGGGTTTTAGTTATCGAGTGAAGAAGTTTTAAATATTTTAAATTTTTTTTAAGGCCTGGGAGTGTAGCTCAGTGGTAAAGACCTTGACTAGCTAGCATGCAGAAGTCCCCAACCCCCATAAAAAGCTAAAGTTGGGTGATTAATCAAAAAAATTACTAATCAAGTACAGTTGTACAAAATTCAAGTTCAACACACTGTACAGACCTAGTTGATGCTTGAGGTGACAATCTGTCTTAACTATGAAGAATGAGCTTCATAAAAAAAAAAAAAAAAAAAAGCAAAACTCAGGGGGCTGGAGAGATGTTCTGTAGCTAAGAGCACTTTCTGTTCTTTCAGAGAACCAGGGTTCAGTTCCCAGCACCCACAGCAGTTGACTCATGCATGAGTCAGGGTTCTCCAGAGTCACAGAACTTATGGGATGACTATACATGTGGGGTTTATTGAAATGACTTACAGGCTGACTAGCTGTGAACAGAAAGTCCAAGAATCTAGTAGCTGTTCAGTCCACAGGCTGGATGTCTCAGCTGGTCTTCCATATACACTGGAATTCCAAAGAAGTAGACTCTAATGCCAGGAAGGAATGGATATGCTAGCAAGGCTAGGGCAATCAGGCAAAGAGCAAACGCCTCCTTCTATCTGTACAAATGCATCCTTAACAAAACACAAGAGAAGCACTCTGCCAACTATCATCCTTAGTTCTGCAACTGGTCACATGGCCTTTGCCGGTGTTTATAATACCTTCTCTGCTATCCATTCTGTGTTCCTTCCACTCTTAGCAAGCACCTCAGCAGGACTTGGTAGTTTTCCCTGGAGGAGTGACCCATATCTTCATTCCTGATGGGTCTGTGCCCTTTATCATCCTGCCTGGCTTAGGCTGTTGTATTTTCCACTGACTAATCACAGGACTGAGACACCCTAAAGGATCTCCTGCACTCCAAACATGAACTTTCTTACCTCCATTGTGGAGAAGCAATCCTATTTCCCCTTGGTAATCTGGATCAATCACCCCTTCTAACACTGTTATTCCTTTTATTTCTTTCTTGGCTTGTTGGTTTGGTTGGTTGGTTGGTTGGTTGGCTGGCTGGCTGGCTGGCTGGCTGACTTGCTTGCTTGCTTGTTTTTCTTTGTGTAACAATCCTGGCTGTCCTGGAACTCACATCGTAGGCCAGGCTAGCCTCTGCCTCCTGAGAGCTTATCCTGTTGGTTTAAGGAGATCAGAAGCCCAAAGCAGCCAGGGGGTTAAGTCTGAGCTTCCAGTTCCATGTAATGTTTGTTGTGAGCACTCCTCCCCCTGGAACCATGACTACCATGACAGCTGGGTTAGGCATTCTATACACCATGGATGGTGGTTTTGGCAGAAGCATTACATACAGGAAAGGCAAATCAGTGAGAACAAAGTGTTGTGTTTTCCCCAAAGGAAGTGGTCCAACATAGTCCTCCTGCCACCAGGAAATGGTGCCCTATCATCTGGTGATCAGTGTTGGTCTCTTCTGTTGGCACATCTGGCACTCAGCAGCAGCTGAAGCTAGGTCAGCCTTGGTGAGTGGAAGTCTCCATCTCGGCCACCACGGCCACCCTGTTCATGTGCCCCCTGGGTAATGACAGGAACTGCTGGGGAAAAGAGGCTGACTGTCCTCACGACAGATCTTCCTCTCTACTTGATTACTGAACTCCTCCTCAGCTGAAGTCACCCTTTGATGAGTGTTCTCATGAGACACAAGTATCTTCACATCCTTTACCCACATGCTTCTTCCCCGATGACTTACTATTTTCCAATCATGCGCTTTCCCGATCCATTGGATTCCACCCACCCAATCTATTCGATGCAGTCCATGAATCAGTGAACAAAATTGTACATATGGGCCATTCTTCCTTCCAAGGAAACTATAACCTCATGTGCGCTGCCCAAAGTTCTGCCCACTGTGAATACTTCCCTTCCCCACTGTCTTTCAGGACTGTCTCAAAAAGGGATTGTAATGCTGCATCCGTCCACTTCTGGGTGCCTGCATAGCATACAGAACCATCCGTAAACCAGGCCCTGGTCTTCTTTCTCAGTCAGCAGATCATAGGGCACACCCTTGAACATATCTATAGGTGTGTGCTTGGCAGCAGATGGCATTGTAACAGGAGTAGAAACCACAGGCATTTGGGCAACTTCCTCATGTAACTCTTTTGTGCCTTCAGGACCTGCTCGGGCCCAATCACATACTGATAATAGATTGCTGCTGTGCACGTCCTACCTTATGACGTGGTGGGCCTGACAACCCCCAACTCATGATTGGCTGCTCAAGGCGGCATGATAACTTGGCAAACATTCAGTGTCCACCAAGGCCTGACAGAAGGCTAAGAGCTGTCTTTCAAGGGAGGATAGTAGCCAGGCACAGTGATGCACCCCTGTAATCCCAGCGTTCAGGGAGGCAAAGGCAGGAAGATTTCTGTGAGTTCAAGAGGCCAGTCTGGTCTATAAAGTCTAGGACAAGACTACCCAGAGAAACTCTATCTCGGGGGGAAAAAAAAATCTAAAAACAAAGTGTTGGGATCCGTAAGCAGGCATCTCTACGGCCAGCCCCAAGAGACCTGACAAACCGGATATCAGGCATCTGTGAAACAACCTACAGACCACCTGAAACCACCCACACAGGCTCTGGGTCACCTTATAAGAGAACTCGAAGCTCCTCCTCTCTTTTTCTTTTCTGCTCTGCCAAGAGATGGTCTCTGTGACCCCTCTCCCCTCCCCTTCCCCCTTCCCTCAATAAACCTCCCACGTGGAACCAGTCCCTTGGCGTGATTTGTGAACCCACCATGTAGCTCTGTTACACAGTCCCAACACAAAGGGAAAATAGTTACTGATAAGGTCTGACAAAGCTCCCAAACGGCATCTGTATCTGGCACTGATGCCTCAAGTACTGTCGGGTCTGTTAGATCTTATGGTCCAAGTGGTAGAACAGCCTGCACAGCAGCCTAGACCTGTTAAAGAGCCTTCTC